ACTTCAGCCTCAGACCATCCTAGTCCAGATTGTGGACATTTCTCCTGTACCAGAGGAGCCAAATCTTGTTCCTCTTGATCCTCTTGAGGCTGTCCTGTTCCAGATTTTTCCTCCTGCTTCTCTCCTAGCAGGTGTTTAACAAAAGCTGATTCAAGATTTGCAGGGTTGTGTGAGCTCTCAGTCAGGCTCCCTTGTGAGCGGAGGGGACAGCAGTCCATTGCCCATGCATCCTTAGATGTGGTCCCAGACCCAGCTTGTTTCAGGAATACTTCTTGCTGCTGCCAGGTCTCTCTTGCTCCTTTGACTCCCACAGTATTCTACCTGTGTGACCACCAGAAGTGGTATCTGCAGTGTTTGGCACTGCCAGAGCTGCTTTGAGACCAGGGTCAGCTCTGTGGCTTGTGCCAACAACATGTTTCTTTCTCCAGCCTCCCATAATTACCAGAGCTGTAGCTCATTGCTCTGGGATGTGTGGACGATGTGTGGTTATCGATGCTGTAGCCTGTTTCTGTTTCCAACATCCCGGTGGTCCTCACCATGCTGCTGCTGACCTGATCTGAACACCAGGAGATGCAGCTGTGACCGGTATGGGGAATGGCCCCTTTGGCAGTATCGTTCCTTGTGGTTGCGTACACCCAGGATTTTTCTGCTTCCTTACTCCTGGTTTTTAAAGTGACATCTCTGACCTCAAGCTGTGTCCTTATTTTTCACAGTAGTCTTATTAAGGCACCTTCACCATTCTTTAAATAGCTTTGTTCTTGAGGCTTCCTTGAGCAACTGGAACAACCAGAGCTGGTGCAACTGGCTCTGGGGATTGAATTTATCATTTTCCTTCTTGGGCATCAGGGATGATGAATCATCTCCTTTTCCAGCAAAGCAAATCTTGTTGGATTGCTGTGATGCTGCTGTGCTTTGGTGTCTTTCTTGATATGTAGCAGGTGTTGCTTAGAGGCAAGTTTCAGAGTTCCTTCTGCCATCGTGGGGTTGATTGAGAAGGGGCGCCATGGCAGCCAGGCTCTGTAGTAGCGTGTAAATGCCATGAAGCTACACTGTGCACAACACGGCAGTGGAGAGTTCTGTCCATGTGTGTTTCTTACAGGGCAGCAGGCAGAGAGGTCCATCACACTTCAGTCCTGGGCGCAGTGAGGCCCCATGGAGATGGTCACAGCATTGGAGAAGTTACATGTTCCTTGAAAAGGTGGTCCTGGTCTACCCAGGAGTCCCCTTTGCCCGTGTTAGAGCAGCCTGAGTGGTGGATCTGGAGAGGAGTAGGTCTCCTGTAGAGAGCTGGTGTTGAGGCATCAGCTGTACATGTCTGTCCCTAGATATTTCTGCTAAAGGGCTGAGGGGACGTGACAGGGGACGTGTGCTGTGTGCTGCTGGGACCTTTCTGCTGGCCCAGAAAAATGAGTGATGGAGGGAACTGCAGTCCAGCAGCTCTTACACAGAGACGAAAGCTGGCTGTGAGCCGTGTCCCATCCACTGTGCAGGTCAGATGGTGATGGGGTGAGTGGGGGGTGAGCTAAGCCAGATCTGGGGAGGAAGGAGCAGCGGTTGCAAGAGGTGGCAGGAGATGGATGAGTAAACGTGACGTGTCTGTCCTACACCAGAGCTCAGAGCTTGCAGCCTTGAGCTGTAGCAGTGGTTACCAAGCCAAGGTTTCATCCAGGCTTCAGGAGCACATGTCCTGACAGCTGCTTTATTTCCAAGAGGGAGACTGAACTCTCCTGCTTGCAGGAACCCGAGTCCTTTGGGGGATTAACACTCACATCACTGCAGAAACATTCCTGGAGGCCGTGCAGACCGCTGCTCCTTGATGAACTTGCCCTGGCCAGGCAGCCACCTTTTCGCCGGTCACTCCACTTGGGTCTGGACACGTGCTCTGGTCCCTTTGCTCGGGAGGGCTTTAGCTGCATCCTTCTCCCAGGAGGAGTACAGGGGGATTTTGCAGGCTGGGCTTCTCACAAGCTCAGACTTGGAGAAACAAGCAGCTGCGGCTCTGGGGATAATCAGGATTTTAAAGAAAATTCTAAAAAATACAAGTATGGTGACTCTTCCAGACCAAGAACTTGGCACAGTCGTTTGGTTGGGATTTTTCTCTCTCGGTCCTACCTGTCCGTGCTCTTCGCGGCTCTCCAGCCAGGAGAGGCAGGAGGAGGCTGCCGACACCTGAAGCTCTTGCACACAAAACTCGGCGATGCAAGCCCCAGGACCTGCCCACCATGCAGTTAACTCTTCTGCTGGTTGCCCAAAACTCAGGTATGAAACGCTCAGCTGGAGCACGGGGTGCGAGGTCTGTGCAGGTTCCCAACAAGCCCTGGAGGAGCGGCCACCGTTGGCAGAGCAGATCTCTGCCGCTCCAGACTTCTCATCACCTTTGCAGGGGGTTTTTTTCCTCCTCTTGGGTACAACATCGGCTAAATGGACATTACACAAATTGTGCACATTGGTTCAGTCTAAGCTTAGTATTTGTGAATTAAGTTATCTGATGCTTCGCATGAAAACTTCAAAAAGGGGAAGGGGGGGGGATTTTAACTGAGAAAAAGCCTATGAAAATATACTGGAAATATGGTAAAGAAATCGACGTTCTGCTGTATATTGACAGAATTATTTTTATTAAAATACACATCCATGTGCAAGAGCCAGCGTGGAGCTGTGTGCTTTGTCAGCCTCTGCTCGCTGGTGTTGTGCTGGGCAAGGCGAGTGGTGGAGCCAGCGTAGGTGGGAGCTTGTGACCCCTCTGACAGGAGATGGGGCCGGGAAGGGCGGTGGAGTGGTAGGAAGGGTGATGGGGTGGTGGGAAGGGTGATGGGGTGCTTAACACCTTGATGCTCCATGGCTCAGGAAGCTTCAGCCCTGGGACTGCTCAGCAGAAGGAGCTGGACTCTGCCCAACAAGGACGAGCTGGCTCCAGGATGAGTTTTCCCCATCCAGGGATGAGCAGATGCCAGCAGAAGCTTTTCACCGTCATTACACAGGTCCCTTGGTGCTCAGGGCAGGCTCTTGGCTCGGGTTTTGCTGCCTCATGTACAATTATCAGAGGGAAACCAGTAATTATCGCCTAAGCCCTACCCAGCTTTGATAAAAGGTACCCTGGAAATGACTAATCAGTGCCCTTTTGTCCTCAACTCCCTCCTGCATCTTGGGTCCTGGTGCTCCAAGTTCAGTCACGTTCCCACCTGGCAGCATTTCACTCATCAGCTCACATGGGTGGTCCCCACACAGGAAGTCCTCGGGGTCTGGATGAATCCTGAGCATCACTGGTTCCATTCCCCAGCCCCAAAACAGGCCGTCAGGATGGTAAAATCCTCAGGAATGATGTTTGTGTGCCTCACAGAGTGGTGTTTTGTTTTGTTAATGAAGGGATGGATGATCATCATCATTTTTTTTTTTCATCATGGGCTGCTCTGTGATACGGCAGACGATGTTTGTCCCACATTCCCATCACCACCTCTCATAGCGGGTGCGATGTGTCATCCCCGTGGTATTCCTAGATGACCTGCTCGTCTTCCTCAACGTTTTCACCTCCTGTTGGCAATAGCGTCTTCTAACACCTTTCACATCTCAACACAGCTCCTTTTGCAGCTCAAAATTTTCCAGATTAGCTGTGTGCTATGGCAAGATTTGCTTTTTCCTTGTGCATCATGTTGCCCACTTGTAACATTCTGCTTGTGGGCCTACATACTTTTGATTTTCAGGAGGCTTTTTAAAAAAACGGAGGCAGTTGTCTTTGCAGCACTCAAATTTGAATGCTTGGAGAAGGCTGCTTAGTAAGTATCATGTTTAAAGAGCCTCTGAAATACAGACTTGGGGTGTCTGTCCATGAGCTCACCACCTTGCACTGCTGCTTGCACATCCAGTTTTTCTTTCAGGAGACAAAATGGTCCTCACAATCTCCAATGTTGTGTGCTGTGAGGGTGTAGCCAAGCACAACCCATGAGACGTTTGTCCCTTTGAAGTGTGATTCTGCTTCAGCTCTCCTTTCCACCGCTGCTTCATCCCGTGGGGCTCATGATCTGTGGGCAAAGATGTTATGTGGGACATGTTCCCCGCTCACTGCCTACATTCAGTATCCTAGAAAGTACAGCCCTGCCCCATTTTCTCATCCTGAGCATGGAGCCTCAGTGATGCTTTAGGTTTAAAGTCAGTCCTTAGCATTTAACACATTTCCTGCTTTCGCCTTTCTGAGGTTTTCCCATGCACACCTTGCACCTCTCTTGTAAAACAGGGGCCCATCAGCCTGGGGCTCACAGCCAGGACCTGTGCTGCTCCCACCCCTCCCCAGCCCTGCGCGGGGTCTGCAGCCAGGGCACCTCTGCTCCGTCCAAGCTGAAGGGGTTGGTCCTCACCCTCCTGGCACTGCTGACGTTGTTGTTCATCTCCTGCCTTTGTTTTGCACTGCCCACCACCATGTTTGGAAGCCAACAAGGTATTAAGGGTTTGGCAGATCAGTACGTTCCCCCTGAACCACCTAATTTTGGAGTGCCTGCAAAGCCTGTGGGGCCCAAGGCATGCCCTAAGGACATACAGCCTTACCTGTGGGGAAGGGCAACCTCACATGTGGGTTTTTGGCCCATGGTTCAAGAGCAGGACCCACTATCACAGTCCCAGTGAAGCACATTGTGACCAAGCACAGTTTGCTCCAAGCCTGGAGATAAAAGTGGCCGTGGCAAAGGGGGTTTTTGGTCAAACCATGCCCTGGGCTTGCAGGATCTGCTTCTGGGCCTGAAGAACCAGGAAAAACTCAAAGAGCAGCTTGTGAAAATGAGTCTTTATTATAAATAATTGGTCCACTGGGCACAGCCTGGCAGGGCATTGGTGGCAGGAGGGACTCGGTGGCCAGCTGCTCCATGCCACTGTGACACCCGGTCGTGTCGGGGTATGGCAGAGTGCCCACTGCCACGGGACCCTGAGAAGAGGTCCCATGAGCACCGTCTGCTCCCTCTGGAGACAGGAGGACCAGATGGGTGGGTTGGATGGTGGATGACAGAAGGAGAATTTCATCTTTTCCCTTGCAGCTTTTTCATTACGTTCTTCACCCAGGGCTTCTTGGGGTCAGTGCAGACCTTGGCACCGTTGGCAGCCACAATCCTGCAGCGAGAAAGAGAGGAAGGAGAGTGAAAACATGAACCATGAGCCCTTCCCTTCCCATGCTCTACTACTTTGCTCCCTGGATGCAGCCCCATCTTGGATGGAGGCTTGGAAATGATCCCCAGCAGCCCGTGCCCTCCTAGTGCAGGGCTGATAGTGCTCGTCTGAGACTTCTCAAACCACTGGCGTTAGCAGAAAGCACCAAAACCTTATTTTTAACCCCTCCGCCCATCCCACAGAGCTGCTCCCCTACTGCAGCCCCTGCCAGGGTGTGCTCCCTGTTGGGACCGGGCTGTCTGCAGGGCAGGACGGGGTGGGGGGAGGTGCTTCAGCTCCCAACCATGGCACTGAGCTGGGGGCAGGAGGTGAACCCTAGGGGTACTCACACCACTGCAGGCAAGGAGCAGTCGCTGGGCGTTTTATAGAAACTCTGCGGGTATCGGACACGTTTCTGGGCGTACTCGAAGCAGCATTCGGTGGCTGTGAAGTGGGCTGTGAAGGGAAGAGACATTGTGAACACCTTTGGCAGCATTTAGTAACTAATTGCATTGCCAGACAACGACACCGCAGGACACTGAACACAGGAGGGAGGTCATGGAGCTTCTCAGCAACTCCATCCCACAGCAAGGGTTCATTTCCCTTCATGGCAGCAAGCACAGGACTGGGAAACGCGGACAGCGGTGGGGAAGGGAACAGCGTGGGACGCTTGAGTGTGCCTCACTGCAGCTGCCAAAGTGCACAGTGAGGTCAGGGTGCTCAGGTTGGGGATGAGGTTTTGGGGCTTTCCAAGGCAAGGTGTTTTCTGACAGCCACATGTGCTCCCCTACTCCAACCAAGATGCAGGGAACGGCTGCCAGAGCCTCCTCCAAGCCCTTGCAGCATCTCCCCAGGAGCCAGCGCCCCCTCCGTCCTTCCCTGCACTCCAGGATGTGCAGCCCTGCCCTGCCCTGCCCAGGGCGCTGCTCCTCCTGCAGCAGCGCTGTCCCTGCTCCCCATGCAGGTTTCTTGCCTGACGTCCCCAGTGGGGACCCCAACCCGCAGCCGTGGCCCAGGAGGTGCCTTACCTGCAGCGTGGTGCAGGGAGAAGGTGAGGAGCATTGAGAGCAGCAGGACCGTCCTTGCAGCGACCATCGTAGCGGTGTGGGGGCTCTTCCTCTGTGCTGCTTCGTGCTGCCCTGCCCGGTGCCCATGGCTTTGGCTCTCACTGTGCTGTAATTTATCCTCTGCATGCCGCCCACTTTAACCACTTTTCCAAAACACTGGGATATGTTCATTCAGGGGGCACATCTAGCGTCGGGTGGCAGAGGCCAAGGAGTAGAGCAGCCACTTCTGTTTTCTGCGGAAGAGCTGTGAGGCTCTGAGGGGCTTCCAGAAGGCTTTGGGGAACCAAAATGTACCCAGGAAAGCTGAATAAAACCAAATTTCTGTGAAAGAAACACATCAAGTGTCACATTTGCTGTTTATTTCTAACAGGCAAGACAATGCAAAATCTCTGAGCAGGAACAGGTCATTGATGAGTTTAGTTGGTTTGCCTGCATCATCGAAGGCAAGTGACTAATAGGTCCCTCCAAACTGGCCTCCCTCACCACCCTGGCCATGTCGAGGAGGATGGGATGGGATGGGATGTTGTCAGAATAAGCCACACTGGACCAAACTAGGAGGGACTCCAGGGCAGGAGATGGCAGAGATGCTTTTGGTGGGTTCAGAAGTCTTTATAGAAGGGGAAGAAATGGAGTCAACGGCAGTGGGGTGTCTGAGGAGAGTCTGGGTCTGAGCCCAAGCATTGCTGCTGCCTCCCACACCAGCAATGGGATGGAAATGAGAGGTCAGAGGGATGGAGGTTCGCGGTCACCAGTGCACAGATGGGTCATTTCTGCAGGGAGATGGGACAAACGCTCCCAAAACCCCAAGAGTCACCCCAGACCCCAGAGAGGACCCTGCAGGCAGGAGGAGCAGATGGCACAGACCCCAATGGCAGCACCACAGGACACTGGTGGACATCAGCACAGCTTCCACATAGAGATCAGCTCCCCAGGAAGGCAAGATGCAGCTGTGGCCTGCATGTGAGGAGGGGGTGAGGACCCGATGAGAACCCATGTGAAATGATGGGGGGGGGCATGGGAGGGGACCTGGCTGTGACCTGGGGATGAGGCATGCTAGGGCTTCTTGGAGGAGAAAGATGGAAATGGGCTTCCTTGAAGATTATCTCATGTTTGTGCAACTTCTCTGGAAGGAGAAAGGAGAAGGAAACAAATCAAATGTGCTGACAGCTCTGCTTTGGAAGATGTCATTTGCAGGACATCATGTCTGGTGGCCTGGCACAGCAGCAGGGTGGTCGTAGGGAGAGGTGGGCACAGCACCGCTCATTTCCTCTGGAAAGGGCTCTGCAGGAAGAGAACACCCAATACACAGCTCCTGAGCTGCCTTCCACAGCCTCTGCATCCCCCCAGCTCTCCCACCTTCCCTTTTGCAGCTCCTACCACAACCCTGACGTACAAAGCCCAACAGACCACTGGGGTCACACCACTTCCTAGACATTGGTTAAAAGTGCAGGGCTGTAATTAGGGAGAACTGAGCTAATGGCTTTTTCCAGACATCTCGTGCCAAGCTCTGAGCTCCCTTTTCAGGCTCATCTGAGGCACACTGTCACTTCTTCCTTCCCCTGTCTGATCAATCCTGTCCTGGTTCCATCAGAAGCTTTAGTAGATGCCTCCACGCTGCTTTTCATAAGGAAATTGGTGCACATCGGGTATTTGAAAGCCTGAAGAGACCCCATGGGGCTGTCTGGAGGATTGGGCTTTCCTCTGTGTCCCTGCCCCAGCAGTGAACCTTTGGGCTTGGCTTTAGTCTTCTCCAGCCCCTTCAAAAGGGCCATGCCCAGCGTGCTCCCAGCGACCTCCTGGGCCATCCCCACCAGTGGCACTGCCTCTTCTCCAGGCGTGGAGCTCCAGGGTCTCCCCAAGATTTGCCTGGTTCACAAACACAAAAGCAAGCAGCCATCTGTGCAGAGAGGAGGGGAGGGATGGGCTGTGCACATGATTTTATCAGTGTCCAGACCAACTGCAACCTCACTGTAATTTATAACCGAACACAGATTTTTTACTAAAAAACCCCCTACTTTAGAAATTAAAATGGGTAGGCACAGACAAAAATAAAACCAATGTAGAGATGGGAAGTAGTCTAACTCATACAATGTTCTGGTTTGGGAGTGGGTAATCATAAAAAGTCATAGTTTAACAGGGTTTGAGAATACTCTACATATAATAAATGTCACAGAAAATGGCAGGGCACAAGGCAGTTGCACATTGGGGATGCTGCTCTCTGACACTGGTGCCACCAAAACCCTCGCTGGAGGAAGACTTCACCACCATCAGCAATGGCCAAAAAGGCAAAACCACACCAATAACTGACTTTGATAACCTCACCAGAGCATTCTTGCCATGGCTAGGAATAATAGAATTGGAAAAGGCTACAGGAAATGTGTTGAGGGAAATAGTAGTACAAAAGCTACGGTAGACAGCAAAAAGACCTTACAAACAGAGTTCAAATCTAGATCTCAAATGGTGACACAAAGCAATTAGCATTAGATCTGTTAGAGGCCAAAGGAGGGGTTGGTGCTCTCATTAACATGGCTTGTTGTTTCTCTGTAGACCAAGACAAAAGAACAGAACCAGGTGTAATGACAACGTAAAGCCACCTGAAAGTTTTCCATAAAATAAAATAAAATAAAAAAAAACAAAAAACAACTAAAAACCAAACCGAAAACCTTCTGGGCCCAGACATTGCCAGATGGTTTGGAAATGTACTTAAAATGCTGCTCAAAGCTCGATGTACAGGGCTAATGGCTGTAATAGCAACCTATGTGTCTGCTCCTGCTCAGCAGGATGTCCCCTGGGCAGGGACCCACGCGCACCGTGGGATGGAGCAACAGGCCTCACGATGGGCTCAGCCAAGGCCACAGCGATGCTGGTCCTGTGCCTGGTCTCTGCTGGGAGCCGGTGCTGGGGAAGGCAGATGAAGGAGCAGGATGGCAGGGAGGCCCCGCTCGCCTCCAGTGCTGGCTCCTCCTTGCTCGACGCTGCACTCACCCCCTGCACGGTGCCGGGCTGCACCTCCCCATCGAGCCGGAGCCCTGGCATCTGTGCTGCGTCCATGCCGCAGCTGTCAGGAGAGGGCACCAAGACCAAGCAAATGGGGTCTGTCTGTGGTCTGAAGGCTCCTGAAGAGTAAAGGCTGCAGTTCAAAAGGCTTCCTCGATCTGAAGCATCCCCTGCTGTACCCCAGAGAGCTCTTGGTGCCCATGAGACCTCCTGTTCTCAGACCTGCAGTGCGTCAGGGTCACCCCTCAGCTCTGGATGGGTTTTACCTCTGCTGTGAACGCATCCCTGGAGATGCTGCAGCCAAAATCCCGTTCCCCAAGTGTTGGGAGTGCCAGCAGCAGGGGCTGCCAGGGTGGCTGCTGCTCAGGGATCGTCTGAGCATTGACTGGCTGGTGGTGTGTGATGGCTTTTGCCTCACTTGGTGGGGTCTTTTCAGTAGTTTCTTTTTTTGGTTGATTTTCTTCTTTTGGTTGGTTTTCTTCCTCCCCCTTATTAAACTGTCTCAGGGAAAGCAGCAGGAAGCCAGGAGATGTTCAGGGTTACAGCATTTGTCTTCCCAACTCAGCATTATGTGGGAAGGAGTGAACAAATCCCTTGTTTTGCTTTACTTATCAAACCATCTTGATCTCAACCCATGAGTTTTCACACATTTGCCCTTCCCATTCTCCTCCCCATCCCAAAATCCTGGCAAGGATCCCTGGTGAGCTCCCTGGCACAGAGGGCATTTCCACAGCTGTATATGGGTGAATCCCTTGTCTGCTCCAGCATCTCCTGCCCAGGGAGCTCCGCAGGGAACCCCTTCCTCTGCAGCACAGCTCCCATACCCCAAAGTCCTCAGGAAGACGTGGCAGCTGTGCTGTGTCCATGCATGGGGCAACGCAGGGGACAAGCTGAAAGCTCTAAGCCCAAAACCAATGGCAATTTTGCACTTAAAAGCCCTCAGAACCCCTTTTGGGTCACCTTGAAGCAGGTACCCAAGTGCCCAGAGCATCCATGCAGCACCCTCCAAACCCCAGTGATACCCGTGAGGTTTTGGGAGGCAATGGGAAAAGCCCCCATCCCACTCCAGCCCCATGCCATGACCACCAGCAGCACAGCTGCTGGGGCTGGAAGAAGAAAGAACACCATGCTCCAATACCAAAAGAAATAAACCTTTATTTTGTGGCTGTGCTCAGGTGCGGGCAGGGCTGGCAGCACTCCAGGAGCTGGTGCCCAGCTGCTCGATGTGTGCAGGGCTCTGGGGAGCCGGTGCCATCCCTCAGCATCGGGGACCTCCGCAGGGCTTTCCAGGAGGATGACTATAAACCTTCCTTCCTTCCTTGCCACGGGGTGTTGGGTAGCCTGAACCAGTGCACCCACTCTACATCACGGGGTGTGAAGTTCTTTTCTTTTTTGAAGACTCTTGATTGCTCTCTGCACCCAAGGCAGCTTTGGTTTTGCACAGAGCTTGGTCCCATTCTTGTTCTCAAACCTGCCGAGATGAAAGGTGAAGCTTGGTGAGAAACAATAGCTATAATCCCACTTGCGTCCATGCCATCCTCCCTTCCTGTTGGCCCTGCATGTTGCCCCTGGGTGTTTGGTGTCCTACAAGCAGCTCATCCTTCAGCCCAGTGTCTGCAGAGCCTGTGCAGAGCCTTCTGGAGCTGCAATGGACTTGTGTCCTTAACTCTGACCTGTGGAGTGGCCAGACAGTCAATATCCTCCCCTTTCCCTGCTGGAACACAGCCACTCGGGGAAGACACACAGGCCTGGCTCGGTCCTGCCCCCAGAAGGGATGGATGAACCGAACCCGTGGTGGCCCCGGAGACAGCACAGCGGTAGGGAAATTACCAGGACTTACACAATTGCTAGAGAAAAACACTCCTTGGGAGTGATGTAGAAAGTCTTCAGGTTGTGTAGCCGGAGCGCGGACTCTACGTAACTGAAGCAGCACTCGACCGGGTTAGGGGCTGGAGAAGACAGAGAGAGACAGTCAACACTAGCTTTGGAGAGCAGTCTTTAGGACCCTCCCCCATGACAAGCCTGATGCACATTGCAACCCCCAAGTTCTGCAGAGGCTGCCATGAGGATCCCCAGGTGCCTTCCTTCCTTCCTTCCCAGGGATAGAAGGATGCTCCAAGTTACCCCCAGCACCACCAGCCCCGCAGCCACCTTTGCTGAAGCCACCCACCCCAGGGTGCCATCTCCATCCTTTGCACCCCAGGACACACAGCCCTGCCCTGACCAGGAGGTTGCTCCTCCTGCAGCAGCACCATCCCCGCTCCACACCAGGGTTTCTTGCCTGGCCTCCCCAATGGGACAGCCTCGAGCCCCAAACCATAGTGATGGCTCAGGGGGTGCCTTACCTGCACCACAGCGTAGGGAGACAGTGAGGACCATTGCAAGCAGCAGGACCGTCTTTGCACCAAGCATGGTGGCTGTGTGAGGGCTCTTCCTTGCCGGGTGCTGCTCTGTCTCTTCAGAGGAGCTTGACTGTGAGCTCAGGCAAGGAGGCGCTCAATTTATCCTCTCCACGCCCTCCCCACATTAGTTAGCCCTTTTCCAAAGAATTTCGGACAAATTCAAGTGAAAGTCCTGTATGTTTTCTTTAGCCAAGGGGATTTCCTCATCATGTGGTGTTTTCAGGGTTACCGACTCAGGCAATACCTAGAAAGACTGAACACACTTTCAGCCACTTCTGCATTCGTCGAGATGGGGCTGTGGGAAAGCCGCAGTGTCCACAAGGGAAGTGAAATCCTCCCCCCACAGAAGCGTGAACCTGAGGGCTCCGAAACCCATGGAGCAAGGAGTGGTGGCAATAGGAAAGGCAAAGCCCATTTGCTGTGCAAAGTCCTTTTTCAGCCCTAGAGCCAACATAAACGTGCTGGAGTGGCTTCTGAACTCCTCAGGAGCATTCAGCAGAAAAGCAGTGACCGCCACCAACCCTCAAAAGCTGCAACATGTCAAGTACTGTCAGAAACTGCATCACAGTCTGGGCTGTTCCTATGGAAAGGAGCACAGATTTTTCCACCAAAAATTCCTGTTTATAGCTGGGACGTATGGGGATAAAGGAGAAGGGAGTGCAGCCAAGACCTCCCTGGTAGCTGAGGCTGAATCAGGCTGAGAGAAGTGGAAGGAGAAGTTGGCCTTCAAAGTTCTTGGGTATTTTTCCAACATCTCCCTCCCTTGGAGGGGCCTTGGAGTCCCCCAGATCTGCAAGCACCTGCAGATGGGCTCAGCCTCTTGGTGTTAACCTAGGTACAGCTTCTCCCTGCTGTGCTCTACTCCTTCCTCACCTGGCCACCAAAGCCTTCTGCAGGGCTTCACCAGTCAAACGCAGCCCTGAAGCTTTTCCTGTCCCCATTCCCTCTTTTTTTTTCCAGGCTTAGGTGGATGCATGGAGCAGCAGGGTCCTGTGCAGATCCCTGGGGAACCATGGTCCCCCCTGATCCACTGTGAGCTACCCAAGGGGCCACCTCAAGCCCTTCTTCACATTGGCACCCCCAGCCACCCTCTGCCCCCTTTTATACCTGGGGCTGTGTCATCCCTGGGTGGCTTTTTAAAAATTTTGGGGAAAATCACCAAATGCTGAGAACAGCTCTGGTCATGCCCAGGTCTCCTCAGCCCCAGCTTCAGCCTCCTGCTGTTGAAGGCTCAAGAAGGAGCCCATGCAGAGTATGCCGAGGCTCTTCCCAACCTAGTAGAAACAGTTAAAATCCATACTCAGACCACTGTAGCTGCTGTGCTTTGGCTCAGCCCCTGTGCAGAGATGGAGTCCCTGTGTCTCAAAGGCATGACTTGGCCCAAGAGGAGCTGGCATGAGGCCACCCATGCTGTGTAGCAGCTTTATTTAAAAATAAAGTGTTTCTAAACAGGTCCTACAGTCTCTGCTGCCATTCCTTTCTGTGTGTTCAACCCAGAGACTCAGTGTCTCCCTGGGCCATAACAAATTCCTTGTGCCCCTCTGCTGATCCCCAAAACATCTTTCCTTTCCCCCACAGCTTTGAGGGTGCTCTCTGCCCTTCTCAGCCATCACTGCTGATCCACAGGCTCCCTTCTCACAGACTCTGCAGGACCCTCTCCCCAAATCTGGACCACAGCTGCTGGGACCACAGCAGCCTCCCAACCCATGGATACCATCCCAGCAAACAGCCTTTTGGAGACCATGACACTCCATGAACTGCAGTCAAACCAGTAGCACCAAGATGGGGACATGGGCCACATTGCTGGTCCTGACGCATTTTTGTCTCGCCTGTGGTGTGCACAGGAGCAGGGCTACCAAACACAGGTGAAACGATGCTGTCATACCCACATCCTCAACCTGGGGGGACACAGACTCCCCTGCAGCCACAGACCAAGGGCACAGCCTGCCCTAATCACACCTAGGGCAAAACCACCATCCAAGGGCTGGACCCTGATCAACACAGAAGGATTTGAAGGATGGATAGGCATGGATGCAAGCCCATGGCACATCTCCTCATGACCTCGGGCTTCACACAACCCCTCCTCAGCTGTGGGGGATGCTTTGGGTGGGTGGCCAGGGCAGCACATGGTGTTGGTGGCTGCCCAAGCACAGGGACTCTCAGCAGCTGGGGTCAGGGAAGAGAGAAGAAATAGATCTGGATGGTGTGGACCTTCAGAAGTAAAAATGCAAGTGGAGGGCCCATCTCCACAGAGTTGTGTTTGCTTGTCTGGCAGACGATCTGGCCTGGGATGCTCTGCTTCCCCTTTCTCAAGTTTTCAAGCCATCGCTATTGCAGTCAGACAGTTCATGACTCCCCAGAGACTTTGACGTTTATTCTTTTATTTTTTGGGAAGGGAAAGAAAAAGCTTATGTGCAGTCTTGAACTGATGAGTGCTGGAAATCCCCACTGCTGGCCTAAGCAACCTTTCCATTTGCATGGGCTCTGGAGAATTTGCTTGTTTACATTAAAAAAAAAAAATCAACAGCATCCTTTTGATTCTGCAAGAGGAGGAGGAGGAGGGGGCACCTCAGGTGCAGCCTTTGCCAGAAACTAGACCAGCGTGGGAAGCAAGGAGTTGGGCAGAACAAGCCCCACACGTGGAAATGGGGTCTCAGCGGATAACGGAGCACACCCAGCTCTGCTGGGAAGCAGCCACATGGTCACTGGGCTGCTCAGCAAAGCACAGCTGGGCTGGCAAGGCAGGAGGCGGGTGGCTGAGCATCCCTGAGGGCCTGAGACTGCCTCCAAGGGGACAGTGGGAGGGTTAGGAATAAACTTTTCCCAACTATCTTCTGTTCTACCCCGTCACTTTGAGCATTCTCCATTCACAGTATGAACCGTTCTAGTTTTTCCTCTAGTGAAAGCTCTGCTTTCTGACTGTAAAGCCCCTCCACATTCCCTTGGGCTGCTCACTCCAGGCTCTCCCCAGCTCTGTTTTGAAGCTCTGGTTGGCTCAGGATACAATCACATGCCAAAGGCGATGCTCTCCTTCCTTCCCGAAGCCAGCACTCACCCTGAGACTCCAGGTATGATCGTGCCAGCACCTACAGCCTGAAAAGACGTTAAAAAGAGGAAAACAAGAGTCTTTTCCAAAGCTTGCTTCCTACAGCAGGACACTGGGGACCACCAAGTGCTGGCAGCTGGAGATCCAAGCCGCATCCTGTGCGGTAAGCCCTGTCCCGGCGTCATGAGACATGGAGGCTGCAGGAAGGATGTGTCCAGGAGGATTCCCCTGGGATTTGTCTGCACTGAGTCACCAGGCAAGGTCACTCACCTGCTCTGGGAGATGGAGCAGAAACTCACCATGGCCTAGCAGGGAACCCTCACCACGATGGCCAAGAGGAGAAGCAGGGATGGATGTGCCTGGACCAGACACTGGGAGCAGTCACTTTGCTGAGGAAGAGGAGAAAAAAGATATAATGCCAGTTTTCTCAAATATACTGAAAAGGATAAATTTTTCCATTTTTTTCCAGTGAGGTTGATCAACTGCTTCCAGGCTAAGTGAAGGATGGATCTGGGGTGTCAGGAGGAGCTGCTGCTCCCAAGGGGGGCTGTGCTGGAGAGGCTTCTGTGCAGGTAGCAATCAGGGCCAGTGATGCGTGGTAAGGACTTCAGCCTCCTTTTTTCAACCTTGACTTTTTTTGAGCTCCTAAAGACAGCAGTGGAGAGCTGCTTCAGGTCAGCTTTCAAAACAAAGCTGTGCTAACAGAGAAAGAATAAGACACGGAAGCAATTTCAGCCTAATTTTTAGTGATTTAATTCTGAACAGTATCAGTCCTGACCATTCTGAGGCAGCAGTAGAACAAGTTACAAATTTACTTGTTCCTTAGTTTTTGGTTAGGATAAAACCCAGCAATCACAAAATAAATTCAGTTGAAAGAATGCCATAAGAAAGATACATTAAGGTCTCTAGACAGTGTAATAAAGAAGCATTTGTTCCAACTATTTGGTAGCATTTGCCAACTGAGTTGGCAAGCTGACACCACATTCCTCCTTGGAGGGCTCCTCTCACTTCTATCATTATTTTTTTCTTTAATTGTTTGCTTTGTGGCATTGTAGCTCACCCAGCAGCTTTCAAGGGTGAATCCTTCACCTGAGATGGTCACTGAAGAAGTGTGACCCTGGAGAGTCCCAGCAACCTCCGTGTCTACCCAAGGGGAACCTCAGCTACAAGAGCAGCCCTTGCAGTGACGTGAACTCAGGCCTCAGGAAGAACCACAGTCACACAGCAGAGCTGCAGCTGCACAACCAGAGAGCCAAAACATCTAAGGGGACATCTTGCATTCTGCTAAACCAGCGTTCAGGAAGTGGTGGTACATTTGGTTGACCAGAGGCCACCCTAAACACGAGTGCTTACGCAACATTTCGTAGAAAAACCACGCTGAGCGGGGACAGACATTTCGTAAGTCACAATCCAAGCCTCAAACCAGAGAGGGTGGACACCGCAGGGTCTCTGCTTCACAGGAATAACCGTGTCCCTCACACATCAGTCTGGAGAGAAGCCAGGGCTCGGAGAAGACAATGGCAGAGGTGTCTCACTGCCAGGCCCAGACTGCAGGGAGAGGGGATGAGCCAAGGGTGGACCCAGCACAAGCAGTGCCCTCACCAGTGAGGTGAGAGCCCGCGGGGTCTGAGGATGAGGCAGAGCCAGGTGCTGGTAACAGGGTCCATCAGCAGCTCCAGTCACACCAAAGCAAGGAACCCAATCCAAGACCAAAGCCAGGAGAGACTAAAGGCTCAAGCCTGAGCTTATACAGGGCTCCTGGGCCTTGGGCAGAGGGTGGGGGAGTGTGTGGAAATGTGTCCAGACACAGGTGAAGCTGGTCAAGGCAATTAAGGACAATTAGTGCCCTCAAGGCCCACCACTGTGCCATCTGAGGGATCTTGTGGGGTTGTGAATATATGGAGGTGAGCCTTTGTGGAGTCCCAGTGACTCCTGGTTCTCATAAGGCCAATCAAAAGAGCTGACTAATGAAGTGGTGGAGAGGGTTTGCGCTGATGTGGAGTGGGAAAACAAAGATGTGAGTCAGCAAGGAGCACACTGTGACCAGTGGCCGCTGTCTCCTGTGGTTTGAGGTGAAACCTCAAGGCAGCAGCATGTGTCTTGCATGCTGGGTGCAGAAGGCGAGCCTTGTCCCCCCTGAGCACGACAGACTTGGCACTAGTTATCTCCTGGGCCAAATTCTACACCAGAGGCAGCCCATGGGCCTCCAGGAGGAGAGCAGGAGGTGCATGGTTGGACACCCTGGACTGTCAGACAGAGAAGCCAGGCAGCAGCAGCAAAGCCAGCAAGCAGGTGCCACCAGCTGGCAGAGGGATCAGGTAACCAAAATATCCACCTGTGCCCCAGAGATGCAGCACCCGGACGGCCCCATGCCGGCGCCTGCGCTTGCTCCATGTGTCGGAAATGATTCATCGCTGCTGGGGCTGGCTTGTTTACACAGCCTGCCCCGGCCTCACCCCCTCTCCCTGTGCAGAGAAAAGAAAAGAAAAGAAAAGGAAAAAAAAGTACTTTTCTTTCCACAAAGCTTCTTATCCCCAAAACTACCTTTCCGGCCTGGTGATTCATCTGGTGGAAGTTTTCTCAGATCTCACCCTCTTCCCAACATGCCAGCGTGGGACATGCGGCATCCGTCCGACACGGGGCTGGGGCATGGCCGGGACGAGGGCTGGGGGATGTGGGGGACATGCTCGGCCTTGACACCCTTGCTCCTTCCAGCCTCCCACTCTGGGTGAGCCCCTGGCACTGACTCCCGTACTGTGCTACCTCCCCAGCACTGGAGGAGCTCACAAGAGTGGCCCAAAGCCTGGCTGGAGTGGGAGAGGTCCTGGCTCAGCCCTTGGCTTCTTGCTCCCTTACAGAACCAACTTGGAGCATTACTTTTGTTTTCTGTGGGTTACTATTTGGTTGTGGTATTTGGTTTTTGCTCAGACTGGTTTTTCAGTATTGCCTTAGGAGGACAGGAAATGCCTGTGGGAAAATATATTCCCTGCAAATTTTTGGCAAAACCAAAGCCCATTGACAGTGAAGAGGTGGAGCAACAGCTTGGACGCATTGGTTGCGTCAGCTTTGCCATGTCAGCAATGCTGAGATTCTCCCTCCATTTGATTAATCCCACACATTCATCTCCACATCTCTGCAGGCACCAGGCTTGGTCATCCCACCCTGGGTTGAATTCCCTGAGGCCAAAACTTTTTAACACAAAGACTTTATTACTTTTACTTCTAAAAAAATATACATACAGCACATGTATCTTGCGCACACACTCATATATCCTAAACACACAAACAAATCAGAGCTTGTAAGAGTCGTATGACATTTTAAGCCCCAGCAAACCAGTGACACCTCCAGGCTCTGTCCTTCTGCACCAGCATTCACCTCCTGCCCTCCCACACTGCCCATCGCACAGCATAAAGCTAGCAGGAGCAGCGATGCCCCCCTGCCCTGGGTTTGATCTGTCCCCCATGAGTGATGCCAGCTCCCTGCCTGCCAACAGCCCTGGGAATGGGACTGGGGAGCACGGTGAGCACAGGAATGGGCCCAGGCTGGAGGAGCAGCTCATCCTGACGAGTGCCAGTGTGACCATGGCAGCTGGATGACCGTGGCGAGGTGGCCATGGAGCAAAAACCAGTATCCTCACAAACACTGTGATGGACCTCGAAGTGGTCAGATCTACTTGGTGCACATCTATCTCCCCAGCATTGCTCCAAGCTGAGGGCTTCACCCATAGCCAGACAAGACAAGTGCCCACTCCATTTGCTGTAGTATCTGGGGAGATACCCAGCTCCCATGGACATGCACAATCCATCCAAGAAAACAGACAAGGCACAGTGTTTTCCAGTGTTCCCAGAAAGGTCTCGACCACACAATGCTCCAGTAGCAAGGACAGGACATGACATACAAATTCAAATGGCTACAAAACTTCACTACAAAAATAACATTTCTAGTGTTTCATATAAAAATAATGCCATAGTACACTGCCAAAGTGCGAGGCTGTGAACCCCTCTGACAGCCCCTCATTTACCCTCCAGGTAAATCAACCCCAGCCAGTGTCACACAGCTGGGCTGCTCCTGAGGTTTCACCCCAAATTCCTAATTACAATCCATTTGATCGCATTCTGTACCTCTTGTACCTGCAAAGTCTGAGATGAATCCCTGGCTCCCTTCTCTCAAAGTCAACAAAATGCAGAAATAAGTGAGCTAATGATGGCAGAAAACAATCATTGCAGTCCATCTTTTCCTCCTCCAAGGCTGGATGGATGCCTTGAAGGTGTGATGATGGATCTAGGAGGCCACCTTCCTCTAGCACTGCTTTACAGCTGGCCCATCATTTTTTATCACCTTGTTTATTACCTGGTTTTGCTTTCTTTTTTTCTACATGCATATTTGTACATTGGGATCTGATCCACTGAGGTTGGTCAGAGGAGGATCTGACCCCTGATTCGTATCTCTACATACAAAGCATCACCTTGTGAAGACCTTTGCATGCTCCAGCAAAATTCATCCTAGAGTCAATGTTTAATAAGGGCTTTCAGGAACTGACCACAGATAAAAGATAAAGCTTACATACAGCAACATCTAGATGTGTGAAAATCAAAACCAATTTGGGTTAAAAGAAAGCCTGATACTTTTATGGTGCTTTAATAGCCTGGCGATCAGTGCTGTACAAAAAAAAAGTAAAACTAAAATGTGGCTCTAGTGTAGGGCCATGAACAGGCATTTTGGGCTTTTTTTTTGGTGGAGCAGCAAATGTGCTTATTTCTAGAGAGAATATGGGACCAGGAGAATGGTATATCTGCTGTGGTGGAGTAATTCCCGTATGACTCAATCCAGAATTGCATTTAGCTGATCCAAGGGAGTATTTCCTGGATTTTGTGCTTGCAGAGAAGAGCAAAAACCCTCTGATGTTCTCGCAGGAATAGCAAAATTATTGGGTGACTTCTTGTTTTCAGCTGCTGGCAGAGGCTCATCCCCATGGCCCTGCCCTGCTGTTGGACACAGCCCACGTTAGCAGACAGAAGGGGTTTACTGCAGTCAATTTGCCAAAAAACAGGGCTCAGACTAAATCTGCAAGAAGAAATGCCCGTTGCTGTTGGAGAGAAAGGTGAACTGATTTCCTCTGAACATTAAATCTGAAGCATTGACCTTCAGTCCCCTCATCAGGTGCAGTTTTTGTCACCACTGTCTGAAAAGTTGGACCACCCCTCGTGTCTCCAGCAAGCGTAAAGTGGTATTTGATCAGCCTAAGGAGAGCCAGCACCTGGCTGACCACCAGCATCGCTCTTGTTCTGATGGAGCAGCGACCTGAAGCACCAGGAAAGAAGCAGCAGAGAGTTTGTTAAGTGCAAATTGTGTGGTTCTGGTGTTAAGGTTGCTCAAGCAGCGTGGGTGAGTGAGCGGCTTCTCAGCTAGGCCTTGATGAGACATAGAAAAATTCCCAGCAGCAATTTGGAAATTCACGTCTGCCCAGCACCTGGCAAAGAGCCACCGAGCAGCTCTGGAACAGCGACAGCCTTTGTACATAACGGTGCCAGAAGAAAAAAAGCGTCTCATTTATTTCCAAAATACTGTCATTGGTCAATGACAGATTTTATATATTTTTGGCCATTCTGCTCTGCAAAAAAATCAGCTTTCTCTGGTATTTGTGCTTCCTGCCTTGCTTCCTACTGGGCACCAGTTCAGCATAAACTTAGCTTTCCTGCAGCAACACACATGCAGTTTAGGTCAAAAATGTCCACCTTATAAAGCACTCAGATTACTTCCATTGGATAAACATTGCTTTCACGTCCCCCCTTGTGGTAGAGCAAGCCCTGTACCATTTCTCTTGACATCTCTTCTGCTTTAAGCTTTGATTTAAATTTTAGGTACAGCCACACAGCAACACTGCAACCCACCAGACCACCTACCACAGAAACTGGAATGACAAAGTGCATTTGGGATCTCAACAAGCTGGGAAGAGGCAGACTGTTTGGTCCTTCTGTGGTCATCTGCCCTCTGGCTTGGCCTGAGAAAGCTTGATTAGTAAAAAATAATGTGTCTGATGGCTGTTGTTTTCCTACAGACAATGAATAATCAAATGTTATAGTACCAAAGGCATCTGCAGAGGAACTGACAACCTTGATGGTGTGGACAGAAGGACCTTTGGCAGCTGTGGAGTTTAGAGTAGAAACTGAAGTAGTCTCTGGTGGAACTGGTGTGGCTGGGTCTGTGGCAATCTCCATGCTGCCCAGGATGGAGGGGAGATCTGCACTAAAACTGCTAGAAGCAGTGTCTGGTGCGTTGTCTCTCACACTTGCAGGGTCCAGGGATTCCGCTGTAGAAAGCACAGGATGGTCTGATCCTTTTGGAATAGCCATGGGGTCAGAATTTGAGCTAGGAGAAGTTTTGTGTTGAACATCAGCCGCAGCATTTGCAGTATGTCCTACAGGTTCTTCTGTAGATCCTACAGTGTTGTCAAAGCCATGCGCAAGAGCTGTGAGATGTGGGGTGGGCTGGCTGGAGACCATGCCTGCTGCAAAAGTTTTTGAAGGTGCAGGAGTTTTTAAGGAGTCTCTGTTTGCTTCTGGAGTGACTTCAGAGCGGGAAGCAGCTTGCCGTATCCCAGGGGATGATCCCTCAGGGAGCTGGGTCGTGTTCTGCATGGCTGGTGGGGGCGCGCTGGACGTCTCCGTTCTGGCAGCAGGAAAATGCGTCCTGTCCCAAACCATTGTGCCAGTCTCTTGAAAGAAACTATTTGGAGCAGTGGCTTGAGATGGAGCTGTTACTGTATGACCAACATGTTTCTGAAAATTACCAGGCTCTTCTAGTGCTGCTGCCGAGGTGGCACCACAGGGAAGTTGGGAAGCTGTAGCCTTCTTCTGGTCCAGTTTCTTCATGATCTTCTTCACCCAGCCTGCATCCGGATCTGCACAGATCTCCATGGACTTCAGAGTAGTGAGTCTGAAAATAAAAAAGGATCACTAACTGGATAAAGAAACCACCGGTTTAGATGATTAGTGTGATAGGGAAGGCATGCAGGCAGCTACTCAAGCCCATCATAAACACTACTGGGCTGGATGGATTATTCATTTCAGGAAGAGCAGGTGCCTCTGAGATCTGACTGAATGAGAAGCAGCTGAACATGACTCATGGGTGAAGGGTTTTCCTCTAGGAAGTTTTTCTCATTTAAAAGCATTGTCCTGATGTTTGGATGCAGTGTTTGCCTCCAGCACTCAGAGCAAGAAGCTCCACAGGCACCAGCTGCCCAGAGACAAGCACATGTGAAGACAAATCCCCTCTGCTTTACTGAGTGAGATGGGACTCTGAGGTCAGCCCAGCAGGTTCACCATGAACCAACCCCCTAGGCTGCAATAAACAGGCCTCCATGGTGCCTCACCTTCAGGGTAATTTGAAAACTACAATTATCCTGGGGGAAATAATGTAGCTTTCCTCATCTCCAGACAAGCTCACAAGTCTGAATCTGTCTCCAGAGAAAACCCCTGCTTTCACAGAAACACAGGAGCTCTCGCTTGTGTGCTTCCACTGCCCTGTGCTGCCAACAAGCATGTCCGTCAGTCCATCTCCCCATCCACTTATCCCTGTCTCGCTTTGTGTGTGACCACATGTGGCAGCTGTCTTTAAACAAGGAAGAAAATCCACCTACACTTCAAATAAATACCAGAATTCACTCTGTTTCCAGATTGCTCCTTGCTCCAAAGCAAGGGCCTTTGCTGACAGGGTGATGCTGACTCAGTGCTGGGGGTGCAGGGAAGGGATTGGGCAGGGGGCAGTACTTACATGATGGCTCTTTTGGGGCAGAGGGGTTCGGTCCAGCGGTAGCTCCTTATCCGCTTCTCTGCTATCTGAGACGTGAAACGGCTGCACTCTGTTGAACACTTCAGGGGTGCTTTGGGTTGCCCTGAAATAAAGTTTTCAACATATCAAACATTGGCTTTTTATCGGGTACTGTAATATACATGGAGACCGAGTCCAAAGCTTGCCATGAAAGTTTCTGATCCCTGCTAAAATGAGATGAAGATAAATCCTGTCAGGGCCACAACTGTTTGTATCCCCCAAACAGGTGATAAGATACCTAGAAAACTGCAAAAACCACTGTGAAACTTGCAGGGCTCTTGGCACATGGTACAACCTGCCTTACAGGACGTGCAAGCACTGGCTGGAGGTCCTCTGTGCAAGCACCTGGATCTGCAGGTCCTCTCTCCTTTGGGTCACAGGAGGACCAGCCCGGTGCTCAGAAGACACATCTCTTCATCCTCCAAAGACCTGCTGTCACCATCACCAATGGGCTCTTGGTGCAGATCAGAGAGTGGATGCTGGTCCTCTCCCTATCTGGATCAGTCACATCTCCTCCTCCTGCAGAAGCTCCCCTCCAGGCGAGCGTCCTGCCTTTGTCTGCTGGTACCTGGTCTCTGAACACCACTGGGACTCAGAGATGAGGTGCAGAGAAAAAACCTTTTGGTGAATGACATGTTGCTCTCATAGATGTCCCAGCAGCCCAGCTTCACAGCACAGTTTCTCACCAAACATCTCTTTTCCATCTCCACCAAAAATATGGTTTTCATTTTGCAAAACGTAAAAATAAAACTTCACTTGACTCCTTCAAGGGGCAAAGCCAGTCACACCACTGGGAACCCTTAAATTCCTGCACATACCCCCAGCCTCAAAACGACATTTGCCAAGAGAGGGAAGGTTGCACAATACAGCCTGGCAGTTTGTTTCTGACGCCCCAGGGGGCAAGACTTAGAAAAACAAGACTTATCTGAGGCCCCCTGTGAAGGAAGGAGCTGGAGCCTGGTTTAGATCAGGCAGCCTCTACAAAATGTTGTCTCAGATTCCCAAATGAATTAGGTGAATTTGTTGCAGCCCAGTTGGGAATGATCCAACCACTGGGCGCAAGAATGAGCATCGCTACGGGAGCACACTCAGCTCTTTTGATCCATTTACCAGGGAAACCAAAGGAATCTCAAGCAAACACTCCTGTGGCCCCTCACATTTCCATCTCCAGGTCTCAGTAATGTTAAAGCAAAACTCTTTGTTCACACCATAACATCTTCTGTGGCACTTTAGGGTCAACAATACGCACTCGGGGCGACTGACTTCCCAATTAACTCTCATTAACCACAGGACATACTGCTGCTCCTCCACTTTCGGGAGCACTCTTCAACAAAACAGATCTGTCCCTGTGGGTAGCTGGGGAGGTGCATGGCTGGGGCTGCTCCCAAAGGCTCTCTGATAACTGCTAACTGAATTACCAGTCATCAGCATCACAAATCAATAGTTTGCAATTAGCTGAACTCCTGGCGCGTTCTTCCCAGAGTGAAGGAGCTTGGAAAGCACCTTCAAGGAAGGAGCAGTGTCACAGGGAGCACGGAGCCAGCCCTGGTTGTCTCCCTCCTCCGGGGACATGCAGCTCTGCTTCTCCAAGCAGCATCCCACTCTTTGCCAAAGGGACACCCGGGATCGGGGTGTTCATCCACCTGGGACCACCATTCCACTGAGGCACTGCTCCTGGGAGCCATGGGTACCTGCTTTTCAGTACAGCTCCTTGAGAGACCCTGGCCAGGGAGCACCACCAGCCTCTTACTGCAGAGCCAGCCTAATTTCATTACTTTAGAGGAGATGCTCGGCCACAGGTGAGCAGAGCCAGGCAGTGGGTTTCCAGGGCAGGGGAAACTGCCCGGTGTCCCTGTTATCTCAGGCCAGAGAGAACCTGCCCGGAGGTGTGAGGAGAGGGAGCAGCTCCATTCCCAGCTGCCCTTGCTGTCCTAGCTCCTCCCGTCTGATGGCAGCAGGCACGGATCTGAAGGGCTCTTTGCCCCTCTCCCTTCCCACGGTGGGAACGGATCATCCCTTTGTCCTGGGCAAAGTCCAGCTTTGCCTGCCCAGCTGAGACGCTGGCTGCCAGCCTGGCAACATGCCCTTGGGCAGCAGTCGCCGATCGGTGCCACAGGCGACTTAAACCAAGACTGAAACAGAGTGCACCCCTCCCTAGGTGCACCCACCTCCTCCCGGGTCCACTGGCCCCGCTCAGCACCGCCCGGGAGTACGGAAATGTCCTCATCCAGAAAACAGGAAAGTGTTTCCTACCTGTACACACACACACACACTGCACAGGGGACAACATCCCCCACCTCACAGTGACAGGAGCACCGGCACCCTCAAGACAGGGAGCCTGCGGACACATATACATCCTCAAATAGGCTGCGGTCTGCCCCCATGGCGTGTCCCCAGGGGACGTGAAAAAAGGGGAAAAGTAGTGCATCACCCTGCAAGTGTCTCCGACGCTCTCCCCCGCTGCTCTCAGGGCTGACAAAGCCGTCACGGGGCTGCTCGGACATCCCTGCTGCCAGGATTGGCACCACAGGCTCCCCGTGTCCCTTCCCAAACCCAGCCTGATCCTGCTGCCAGATCTCCCACAGCCCACAAAGGTCCCTTGGTGCCCATAGTCCGGTCCAGCATCACCTTCTCCCCGCCCCCCCGCGCCCCAATTCACAAGCCCCTGGGGTGAAGCCGGGGACCCCAGGGAGTGGGGAGCGGAGCTGGGGCTCACCTCCAGCCAGGGTCACCAGGCAGAAGACCCTCAGCACAAGCAGGACCTGGAGAGTAAGAGCCTTCATGTTGCTGTGGCTGGCAGGAGGGAGGGCAGGATTACGGGCAGTATTCCCCGCTCCTGGCTGCTTATTGCATCCTCTGGAGCAGCGCAGCTGCTGCAGCTCATTCCAGGATTATGAAGCCCCGAGATGGGGTTTCAAGCTGTTATTCGGCTCCCCCCGCACGCGTCTCGGGGTGACGACAGGAGGCGGAGGAAAGAGCGGGACAGGGGAGGGAATACTGGACTGCTCCAGGAATTCCCCGGCTGCCCTGACATCAGCTTTTCTCAGCGCACGCAGGGCAGCTCCAGCCTCCTTGGCACATGATTCAGGCAGGGACTTCCAGGTGTTGGCTGCTCCGTCCTGCTCTGCCACCGGTGCATCTCTCGCTAAGGCACCACCATCCTTAAGCTTGCAAAGCTCTCCCCACCTCCACTCCCCAGATCCCCAATGCACATTGAGCATTTTGTTCCCCCCCCACTCCGAGTGCAAAAGCAGCTATCCCTTTCTTTTTTGGCAGCCATTTTACAACGGCAGCACTGGTCATTAGGCCAAAAGAGGAGGAATTTGCTAATCAGGATCACGAGTTCATCAGCCAGACTGGTGAGCTTGGGCCAGGCTGCATCTCAGGAGCATCACCAGAGCAAGTGGCGAACAAGGACCCCTCCTACCCGGGGCACACTGTCTGCGGTGGGTGCTTGTTACCACAGCCCTGGCTTTTGCTACCCAGCAGGGTCTCACCCATCAGGGTCTTGCCCATGCTGAGAACAGGGTTACAAGTCCCCCAGGTCCACAAGGATCCAGGCTGGCTGAGGGGCTTCCCGGCACCAGCCTGGAGCCAGGGCTGAAGCGGACATACCAACACGGCAGTCACATCCTGCACCTTTACTTTCTCTTTCATCTCAGATCCCAGCAGAATAGAACCATTTTCCCCTGTCAACTCCCTCGGCTGAAAGAAGATGATAAGATCAAGATTGAGGCAGTGTGGCGGCCCCCGAAAACTTTTTTTGTCCGCACAGTTTTCTTAGGGCTGGTGGAAACCTGGCTTCTCTGTGCTGTGGGAAATTCCAGCAGCTCCAGTTAGGATTTTATTCCCAAAGAGTGGAAACCCCCAGCTTTCCATATGATGCTTCTTTAAAACATTCAGTGAAACTCCCAGCCTGTAACTTCAGCCTTTGCTTACAGTAAAACCCCTTTTAAGGAAATAAAATAAAATAAAAATTAAGACCTAAATAGTCTCTTTGATCCAGCCAGAACAATGTCTGCTCGGATGTTTTCTTGCCCCTTTCTCAAACGGTGTTTTCTCAGGCTGGGGCAGAGCTTTACAGGAAATTTTTATTCCAGGAGCTGGCATTGCCTGAGGCTATCGGGCACCTCTGCTGCTGGAACATGGCTCATGCCTCCCTCAAAAAAACAGGTCTTGCTTCTCTTGTAAAGGGGCTGCTGTCAGCGATGGACAGAACTGAGGAAGGGCTCCAGCACCCACATAAAGCAGGAAGGTGAGTGCTTTGTTTGCTAAAGGCGTGACTTGCCACAGGATTTGTTGTTTTAAGGCACAAACAGCTCTTTGGCAGTGTAACGGGGCTGCTTTTCCTACACAGGCTGGGCTGGTGGTGGACTAGATAGAAACTGTGCGGGCAATTGCTGTTGTCTCCATTTGCTTTAGTTTTGCTTTAGTTTCTAGGAGTAGCAAGTAGTTATTCAGCTTGGGTCTGTGGATTAAACTGTAGTGTGGATGAGGGCAGGCCCAGGAGGACACCAGCACCGTTGGGGCTGGGACTGTAACCTCAACACCTAACACAGCTCCAGGTCTCATCCTCAGCACTCCCCAGAGGACTTCATGGTCCATGCCAGACAGCTTGGTGTCATGCTTGGAGTCTGTCTGTCTGGCTCCAGTTCCTGCTTTGCTCTAAGGACAGTTTCACACCAGGATGGATGTCCTGATATTTAAATGCTGGCTTTGCTGCAGAGAAATGGAGAACAAGGTCTGGATGTTGGTGACAACACAAGGCTTGCTCAGAAGCCTGGTCCGATGCCATGCCCTTAACCTTTGGTTGCTCACTGGCAACCATTAGCCAGGGGCTCGTCTTACTGCTCCAAACCACAGATACCACAGGCCAAAGGGTAGATCCCATCTTCTCCATGAGATACATGAAAGCAGCTCCAGCATTTGCCACCCATTTGACAGGGCTGTTCACAAGCAGGTGCTGCAGCTGTGCATGGGGGTCAAGGTCCTCGCAGGTAGAACAAATATATGACTAATGCTGGGGGAATTGCTCTTGAAGGTGAAAAACAACTTGACCCTACTAAGGCAATATGCAAAGAGAACAAGGGCTGTGTCCTAAACAAACAGGAAATGGCCCCAGAAAATGGCCTGTCTCCTACAAGGTGTTTCCACCCTGGAAATTTATGCTCCTTAGCAGTTCTTGGTTCCTCGGGCAAGAAGGACTATGTGCTGTTTGTTACAGTAGGTTTGTCTTCCTGGAAATCAGGTGGTGACTAGAGAGAAGGGAAAAGTCAGTGGGACCTACAAGGCTGTATGTGACCTGGAAGAATGAGATGTCAGAGCTGATCAGATGAGAATGCTGATGATTTCCACCCCGTGGTCTGTTCAGGAGCTCCAAGCTGGTCTTCCTGGAGCAGGGAAGCCCATCACCCCTGATAGCAGCTACTAACAGCATCCTTTGCTGTCCATGATGTTGGCCATGATGTTGTCCATGATCTCCATCTCAGAGGCTTGCTGGAAAGAGGCAGCAGGAACACTTAGCTTTTGGGAAGATCCAGCCAGTCTTGATGCTGTAAAGGAAACGGGCTGACCCAGGACTCCAAATCCAGACATATGATGAGATTCTCTTTCCCCTGCTAATGCTCCCAGCTCATCCTTGCACTGCACCCACCTCTCCCCAGTTGGGTTGGCTGCTCGGCCACCACTCTGACACGATCCCCCTTTGCCCCAGCCCAGGAGGGTTAGACCCAAGGCAGCTCAAGCACCACCACTGCAGCAGAGCTTCCACGCTTACCAGTACTGAGCTCCTCCAGTTTCTCTTGAGGAGGGCACACGCGGCAAGGTCTGAGAGCCAGGAGGTGGGAGATTGCAGATCAGGCCAGGACACACAGCTGGTCCCCAATGTGTGGGACCAGATTCCCAAAATTCAATCTGGAGAAACCTCAATGGCTTTTCCAATGACATGGCACTGGGTGGTATGGTCCAGAGCAGTCCCGAACCGATCCAACATCCTCTTTTCTCCTAGTCAAGGCAACCAGTGCCAGGCTCAGGAGATGGTCCCTTAGAGCCAAAAGTGGCCTCTCGTTTTGGAGATGCCCTCAGCCTCTGCTTAATGTAGAGCTCTTGACCCGTCAGTGGAAAAAAGGAGAGAATTAAATGACAGGGGATCCAGAAAATCTGTTTGGCACTGCACAGCTTCAAATTTTCTCACATTAAAGAAAAAGACAGGAAATGAGGAACAGATGCCTGGGGCTGTCTGCAGCCAGCATCTCCACAGGGGATGAAACAACTCCTATTTGGGAAGTATCGACCAGTGCAGGGCTTGTGTTTTTAAGAAGGAGCTTTACATAGAAAAACATTTTCAAAAATAGTAGAGGACATCACCCAGGCTTTCACTTCTCTGAACACAATGGCTTCCTCCTTCCTTGTGAATCAGAAAAAATTTTGGCTCCTGCACACAATGTGAAGTGCTGATGCTCTGCACTTTTCCACAGCTACCAGTCAGCATCCCGAGCCAGCCAGTCTGCAGGACATGGCTTTTCCCCAGCAGCATCAGCTCTGAGCTGGTGGCTAATCCCGGTGGGACATGACATGGAAAGATGCGTACCTGTGGTGGGATTGGTGTGTCTCCTCGGCAGCTGGAGCAGCCAGAACTGAAGACAACTCATTCTGTGGCTGTCCCACAGAGGCTGCCAAGGACTGCAACGGCTGCTGCAATAAGCAAACCTTAAGTGGGCTGAAAGTATTGCGTGAAAAGAAACAAACACAGAGCTGGTTAGTTGGCGACACGGTTAAGCACTTCCCAAACAGAGAAGAATCACTTGTCCCCCACAGAGCAATGCATCCACTGGGAGAAAGCTCTTCCCTGGGACAGGGGACGGGGACGGCTCCGCTGGGGAGAGGTGCCTGGATGGCACAGATGAATCTGGGGCAGCTTTGCAGATAAGGGGAAGGAGTGTGTTTGGACTCAGCCAGAACGGGCCTGTCTGAGCACATTGGGCCCCTGTGGAGGTGTCCTGATGTTGCAATCCTTCTCTAGGCCCTGAAGGCAGCATTTCCACAGAGCCGGCACGATGAAGAGGTGCCAGATGATCCCTGAGCTCTCACCACTGCTCTGGAGGGAAGAGAGGGGACAGCAGCAGCAGGTCTGGTCAGGCTGGGCACCACAGCCTCCTCTGTGCTCCACAGCAGAGCACGGCTGCTGCAGGAGCTGTGGACAGGCTTCCCCTTGGCCTAGGAGCGGCTGTGCTGAGCCTCACCCCAGGGTGGTAGAGGGGGGGTCTCCCCTCCTTCACATCTTGGAAAAGGGTCCTACCAAGGCCACTGTGGGAACAGGTAGAAGGTGGGGAAGTCCCAGCCCCTTCGCTCAGGGGCACAGGGAGATCCTGCCTGCTGCAGACTCAGCCCTTTGGCCCCATCCCACAGCATGTGTGGGCGAGTGCCATCATCTCCATGTCCCCACTTCTCGATCCAGCATGTTCACACATGAGCGGTGCCAGTCTCCCAGAAAGGAGCTTACCAGAAGCAGCCCTGTTTATTGCCTTCTCGGAAAGGCTCACCTCTTCCCAGCCCCTCAGGGCAGGAAAAGGCCATGTGCCTTCCAACAGCGTCTGCAGGACCAGTTTAACATGAACTTATCATTAAGCTGTGATGGTGGGTGAAGAGATCCAGAAAACCTCTCTCCAGCAGTGCTGCTGGGGCTGACCCTGCAAATGGTGTCTCAGTGGGAGCCCCAAAGGGCAAGAGGAGCTGCCCTGTGCAGTGCTATGACCTGTGCTGGGGCCATTGTCACCCCCTGCTCCGAGCTGAGCCCTCCTGTCCCACAGGCTTTCAGACTCCTGACAAGTTCAGGGTCTAGAAATGGGAGACCACAGCCCTCCAGACCAGAGCTGTCATCCCGCTCATTTCTGCCAAGCCTTGGCCATGGGCACACACTGAGCTCCCCACTGGTGCCCAGGGCCACGGGAGAGCAGCAGCACACAGCCCCGGGAGCACAACAAGCCTTTACATGCACTTAGCACAATAAACAGAGGGGCTGGGCAGGGAGACAAATTCAGATGCAGGTTCCTCTGCCCAGGCTCTTAACCCTTTTCAAGCCTTGGTGGCTCAACTGAGAGACCAGGGAGTCCTCACCCCAGCTTCTCTGTGCCCCATGTTGTAATAACATGACATCTTCTCTTCTGCTTTTGTCCAGAGCCTTCACTGAGTTTCAGCAATAACCTCACTACTGACCTGCTCCCTCACCAGCTTCATCCCAGGGCAACACACTTTTGCCTCACTCAGACTTTCTAGGAGCATCACACCTGCCCCATACATGATGCAGGCGCTCCTTGAGCTCCCAGGCAGCTGTGGGGTGTATTTTAAGGGTCAGTGCAGCTGTCTTACCTCCTAACAAAGCAACGGGCTACAGATGCTGGCCATTAGCATTTTGGTGTTGGCTGGAGATAGTTAAAAAAGCAGTCGCTGGGGTTAAGGATGAGGTAGATTCCTGTCATGGGTTGTGATTCCTTGTATTAATGCCAAGGAAGCAGCAGGGGAGAATGGAAGAAAGCAGAGATGAGGCATGTCTGGGATTAAAAATGCTATTTGGGAGTAAATCCTTGCCCTGAGACAGAGCTGATCTCAAACCCGGGCTTGTGACTGAAGGCAGTCCTGCTCACACCAGTGTGCCAAATTGAACCGAACCCTCTGCTGCAGGAGCCGATGACCCTTCTTGTGGAGCTGTACCACAGCCCAGAGACCTCCCTGTGGGTGACCTCCGTGTCCAGCCCCAGCCCACACCTCCAGACCACCGCGGCTTCACCCGCTCTGGGCCAGCGGGGTGAAATTTCAAAGCAGCCTGACTGCAGGCAGCAACCCTCCCCGAGGACCCCCAGAGCTGTGACAGAGAGGATGGGGAGACACCAGAAAGTGCATGAGCAAAGGTTCACTGAGGGAGGGGTGCAGGGCAGTGGTGCAGCCGGCCCCTGTGAGCCCCCTGGCCCCCACTGACAGGCATCCGCCGGGAGGAAAGACCCCCACCAGCAAACGATGAGCCACTTCCCCTGGGCGCTCACCGGATGGCTGAAAAAGGAAAAAAAACCCAAAGTACCCCCAGCTCCAGGGCCCCTCCCTGACCCTGCCAGCCCGAAGGTGACAGGGGTCAAGAGGAAAGGACACAGGGAAGGACCATTCGTCCTTTCCTGCCCTTTGACAGGGTCCCACTGCCCTCAGGGCGCTTGCCTCCCACTCTGCCCCCGCAGGGAGGCTTCTGCAGAGCTCCCTGGGCTGGAGGGCCTCTGCATCTCGCCACAGCAGAGAATGCCATCGTGTGGCCATTACTGCTTCCTCGGCTGAATTATCCATGCAAAAAATGGCTGCTTCTGCTCCAGAGTTAATTAGCAACCCCTGTGCCCTGCCAAAGCGTCTGCACAAGGACAACTCCACGCTGGGTGCTGGTAACTCAGAACTGCTATGGGTAGACCAGGGCTCCCAAACGCCGACCTCCCTGCAGGTCCTGGGCACCTCCATGGCCTGGGCTTTTCCCGTGGGGCAGGAGAGGGACTTCCCAGGACTGTGGAGGTACCAGGCTCCTGTGGATTCCACAGCAGAGCTGGACCGGCACCTTGAAGGAGTTGAAGGAGATGACTTCAGCTCCGCTGTATCATTTCCTGCTTGTGGAGGTGCAGTACATGGACGCAGATAAACATCTCCCATCTGAGGCCACCGGGACTTTCACCCCTGGACAATGGGCTGAGTAAAAGTTCAAAAAATAGCTTTCTCTGCTGGCTGTTTATGTTGCTCTGGATGTGGCTTTTTCCCTTTCTGTGCCCCCCATTCACTTCCCCCTCATCTGGCGGCTCTCCCAGCTTGCTTCTGCAGCGATGGCTCACACAAAAACCGACAAGAACAAGTCCTTTGGGCCGTAACCACAGGTGGGCAGGGTAGGAAGCTGCAGGCAGTCTCGGCACAGATCCTTCTCCAAACTGTCAGCTAAAGCATTTCAAGCTAAAGCAATTTCTGGGGAAGGGGTAAAGCAAACCCCTGGCGGGGAATGTGTCTAGGGGCCAGACCTGGGCCTTGAGTCACCGTTGGAGCCAAGCAGTGGCTGAGGGGGTTTCAGCTGCAATAGCTCTAGGTGGGACGTTGTCGCGGTTGGGACACTTGTTCTGTCACCCAATGACTCCTCCTTGCCCAGGAGGGGAATCAGGAAAAGGAAAGGAGACCCTTGGGTTGAAATAAAACCAGATTTACTAGAATAATAATAAAAAACCGACAGTATTAATAACAGTATTAATATGAATTACAGAGTTATACTCAGCTGATACAGTGGAGAAATAGAACAACAGGTGAGTCCCTCTTGAGACAGCAGCCATTGAAGAGAGTGAGGTGTCCCCAGTAAACTCCCCAGTTTATAGTGAGCATGACATTTATAGTATGGAATAATTTTCATTGGTCAGCTTGGGGTCAACTGCCCCAGCTCCCTGCAGCACGTGGTTAACTCAAGACCTTGATCACCACATACCAGTACCAGC